AATCGACTCGGGCGATTATGAAATCTTCGCATTGAAGTTAGGACTGTAAATGGATTGGATATATGGATCGAATATGCTCAAATCCGATCTGATCTGTCAATAATAATTATCCTATCCGATCCGATCCAATAATCCGATGAATATTTGAATGTTAAATCCATATCCGATTAACTATGTTATCGGATATTCGATCCGAAATTGAAAAAATCAGAAAAATAAAATTTTTATTTATTTATATATCAGATTGACTTATATCCATATTTGATTCATTTAGTTAACGGATTATCGAATTTAAATCTCAAATGGGTTATCGGATTAAGACCCTAAATCCATCTCCCATTAATTTTATCGGATTCAGATCAAAATCAATCTATTGATTCATTTAGTTAACGAATTATTGAATTCAAATCTCGATTGGGTTATCGGATTGAAACCCTAAATCTATCTCCCATTAATTTCATCGGATTCGGATCAAAATTCAATCCATTGATAGCTCTAATTGAAGTACATTGAATTTTTAACATCGAACGTGACGTAGAGCTAATAAACTAAACACGCATTAAAATGCAAGCGTTCTTTTATGTACATTGTGATCCGTAATTGTAATAATTTTAAATGTAAGCATTTTTTAAAGCATTTGTAATACTTTAGTTTTTATGTAATTGTATAATAAATAATTAATTAGAAAATAACACACTATAAATAAAGAAAATTGAGAAAATCAATAACACACTATAAATAGAGAGTACATAAGATTTAAATAGATATTACACATCCGTTGGGTAGAGAGTAATTTACTATAATCGGGAACTTCTCACTCGATTTCATTTGGTCGAGGAAATATAGTTTCGGCATTCTTGAATAATGTTCAATGTACTGAAAATGTGATCGTGCCTAAAGTTCGACTCCCATCACTGTTAGATATTCTCGTACACCATGTGATTTATGTTTTAATTAAATATTAAATAAACAATATACATAACCAATCAATATAATTAATTAATGAGCTATTTAAAGAATAAATTAAATTAAATATTAATTTTCTATTCGAATAAGTGATTAAATAAAGTAATGAAATATTAAATAAACAATATACGTAACAAATTAAGATAATTAATTAATGAAATATTTAAAGAAGAAATTGAATTAAATATTAATTTTTTATTTGAGTAAGTGTTTAAAATAAATAAATAAATAAAGTAATTAAGTATACATAACAAATTAAGGTAATTAATAAAAAAAATATTTAAACAAGAAATCAAATTAAATATTGGATAATTATACATATATTAATTCATAAGGATGTCCATAATGTATATATGAAATTCCATGAGTGGAAGATCGAAAATATTGTTTTTCAAATCTCCAATAATGTTATACCACTTGTACATTATGGTATACTATTTTTATTTAAATAAGTAACTAAAATAAAGTAATTAAATATTAATTACGAATAATAGACACATCCAATTAAGATAATTAATTACTGAAATATCTAAATAAGAAATTAAATTAAATATTATTTTTTATTTAATTAAGTGATTAAATAAATAACTAAACAAAGTAATTAAATATTAAATAAAGAATATACATAATTAATTAATGATATCTAAATAAGAATTAAAATAAATATTAATTCTTTTATTTAAACAAGTGATTAAATGAATAATTGAATAACGTAATTAATTTTTAAATGCATAATATACATAACCAATTAAGATAATTAATTAATGAAATATCTAAATAAGAAATTAAATTAAATATTAATTTTTTTATTTAATTAAGTGATTAAATAAATAATTAAACAATAAATAAATAATATACATAGCTAATTAAGACAATTAATTAAAAAAATATTTAAATAAGAAATTTAAATAAATATTAATTTTTGATTTAAATAAGTGATTAAAGAAATAATTAAATAAAGTAATTAAATATTAAATGAACAATATACATAACCAATTAAGGTAATTAATAAAGAAATATTTAAACGAGAAACCAAATTAACTATTAATTTTTTTATTTGAGTGAGTGTTTAAAATAAATAACTAAATAAGGACCTATTAAGATAATTAATTAATGAAATATTTAAAGGAGAAACCAAATTAAATATAAATTTTTTTATTTGAGTAAGTGTTTAAAATATATAATTAAATATACATATATCAATTAAGATAATTAGTTAATGAAATATTTAAATGAGAAATCAAATTAAACATTAATTTTTTTATTTAAACAAGTGATTAAATAAATAATTAAATAGATTAACTAAACATTAAATAAATAATACACATTACCGATTAAGATAATTAATTAATAAAATATTTAAACAAGAAAGTAAATTAAATATTAATTTTTTTTATTTGAGTAAGCGTTTGAAATAAATAATTAAATATAAAGTGAAAAATGTTTGGTTTTTTAATTTGTAATTTAAGGGTATTTTTGTCTTTTTAAACAACATTCCATCTTTGTAATTATATAAATAATTTAAGGATATTTTTGTCTTTTACTCAACAAATGGCAATTTTGAAGATTGACAAATTTTTTTGGTCAAAGTGGAAATAGGGCATTTTGACTTGCCTAATTTCAAAAGTACCCCATTGAATTACTTTGGCATTGTTTTAAATTTGGGGAAAAATAGGGTTTTTACAGTTGCAAGGTGAAGTGTTTTGAAACCCTTGAGTCGTCTTCTTAATTGAGAAGGGGGGTAGTGTTCTGTTAGCGGGCAATATTTTTGGGGAAAGATTATCTTGTTGAAATTCTATGAACCATGTGAGCATTTTCGTCAAAACAAAAGGATTATAAAATATCTTTGAGATAAAAAAAAAAAAAAAAAAAGTAATATAGTATAAAAATTAATCAACAGTATGTTCTGTTTTCAAAAATAATAATTTAGTTGAAATTGAGGGTAGATAGATAAGCTGTTAAGAAGAAGGTGATTTTTTTTTTCATTTTTTTTTTCACTTTTTAATTGGATGAAAAAATTCTAATTGGATCATATCTCTCCATGTTATGTATATGTACATCAATCTATAAGTAGTGATATATATGTAACACAATCGAAAGTAGAACGATAATAATATAATTCCAATAACCCTACTCAAATCAGGATTGCAAACAAGTGCTTTGACAGACGTGTTGAGTTGTCAGCACTTGTGTGGGTAACTTTTTTTTTTTTTAAAAAACTATCAAATGATACTACACCACATGTTCTAGTCTTTTTAACCCTGTCTTTGATGTGTTTGTGTAGCATGATTGATGGTATAGAGAATTATTGACAGAAATGGTTGACAGCATCTATATGGTGAATTTTTTGTGTTTGGTATGTTAAAAACAATGAAAAATTGTTAAATGTTTTTCAATAAGAAATTTGTTAAATTTTTCTGTATTTGTAGCAAAACTGAATATAATTTGAATCATGCTATATGTACCAACATAGTTGACAACATCATACTGAGCATCATCATATTCATTTAGTTTAAAAAGCCGTTTTCTACATTACAGGCTTGGATTTTGGCAACACATGATTGTCAATCTTGAAATATGTTACCAGTACATAATACAGTGTTCATAACGGTGTCTACCCAAAAGAATGATTTTTTTTTTTAAATTTATGTGTAATATTATTTTATAAAAGATTGTATGATTAAAAATAAGAAAGAAAAATACATTTTAATTTTAATTTCGGCCAACGGGGCTTAGCTTTATTCATTAATTTACCCGCAAGTCGTGCTCGACTAGATTTTTCAGTGTAGTCTCCAATAACTGTTATGATAGTATGGGATTATTAAGTCTCCATTTGATTTTCATTCTTATAAGAATGAGAATGAAAATATAGTCGTTACGAGATCCACAAAAGAGAGAAGAAGTCAAAGACAATGATTTGATGAATAACGGTCATATTTTTCATTTTTGTGATCAAAGAATGGGAAAGATGATGGACCCAAATTTCATATATTACTTAACTTAAAATGGAATTAATTGTTTCAATGGTCACTGAATTTAGATCCATATCTATGATTGGTCACTAAACTTTAAAATGTCGGATTTTGATCACTGAATTTAGGTCCATGGCTTTGATTGGCCATTGAAGTTTTAAATGTTGAGTTTTAGTGACTGAACTTAAGTTTATGTCTTCAATTACTCATTGAAGTTTAAAATATCGAGTTTTAGACACTAAACTTTAAAAAATGTTGTACATTACTATTTGAACTTTGAAAAGTATTGTGCATTACTCACTGAATTTTGAAAAATATTATACATTATTAATTGTAAACTCAATATTTTTCAAAGTTCAACAATTATACTAGTGAGTAACGTATGACATATTTTAAAGTTTAGTGGTCAAAACTCGACATTTTAAACTTTAGCGAGCAATCTAAGACATGAACCTAAGTTCAGTGAGCAATTAAAGACATTGACCTAAGTTCAGTGACCAAAATTTGACATTGTAAACTGTAGTGACCAATCAATGATATGGACTTAAGTTCAGTGATTAAAACTCAACATTTTTAAAATTCAGTGGACAAAATTCGACATTTTGAAATTCAATGGCATGTATGTTCAGTGATGACAATTAACTTCTTAAATTGCTATTTTAGAAGGATTTTAGAAACTATTGGACCGGGATCTGCAATCATACAAGAGAGAGAATAATAAAGCATTTGATTGCTGGATGAAATTGCAAAGTTCCTAGTACCAAGAAAGGCACACATCAAAATCCAAATCTACGACCATCTGTATTCTGTAATCAAATTCAATTGAAAATCCTATATTCATTCAAGACCCTGAATTCAAAATCCAATTCAGTTGAAAGATTTTCTTATTTCCAAACTCAAGGAGTGCAAAAATATAAATGGATTTGGGAGAATTGTGGGCCATATTCGGACCCGGATTTTCCGGCGTAGTCTTTGGCGCCGGCTGGTGGTTCTGGGTCGACGCTGTAGTATGCAGTTCCGTTAAAGTCCCCTTCCTCCACTATCTTCCAGGTATGCGCATGTGTATCTGTATCTATATATTTGTTGGGTGGGGTTTTGGATTTTCCAAAATGAATTTTTAGTTCTATTTGTTACGAGCTGTTAAGAGTGAAATTAAAATTTCAAGAAAGATTAATCAAGATGTAACTCTTGAACTATGGATCTTAACAAAATTGATCGACATCATTAGTGACATTATTAAATTTTTTCTGCTTAAACATTGTTTTATTGCAGGCATTTTTGCCTCTTTGGCTGCTTTGATGTTCAATACTGATAATAAAGAAGACCTTGACGACTCACCCTACGGCTATGGAGAAAACGAGTGGAGGTCAGTAGTACTTGTTGCTATTGTTACTATGCTTGCGTAAATTTTTTCCATGCTATTTGGGTTTGAATGATTTGTAGTTGTAGCATTCTGTGGTTAAGATTTTCGTCATTCGTTCGCTGCCTTTTTTTTTATTTTTACTCACGGGAGGAAGTTACATTTCCATTTTTCTGTTTTGTTAAGTTTTAGGATTACAAAATAAAAATTTTGATCTTTGAGATGATGTTAAACATCTCATCTAAAACTTTGAGCTAATAAAGAGCTGAGCCTTTTCTTCATCTAAATTTAGTTTTGAACACTCCCCAACCAGATGACACATGCTCAAATTTTCATAATTTAATGGCAATGAATCTTGTACCCGACTACCCGAGTAACTTACTTGATTTTTTGTCTTAAAACTTAAGCTGTTAGGGACGAGATTCATGAGGCCCATTTATTTATTTAAATCTAGCCTCCGGTTGCGAAGAATTTATAAATGGTTTAATTAATAAATAAATAAGAATGAGTGGTAAATAAGTGGATAGCACTTGTATTGGTATGTATAGTTGAAAACAAAGTTTAACCATATATAATGATTTATAAATTTTGCCAAAAGGAGGCTTAGCCTTGAATAGGGCTATATATGTTTCTAATTTTTAAGTAATCAAGCGAAATATGATTAACACTCCAATAACTTGTTGATTCAGCACATGAATACCGAAAATTGGGCAAATATCTAGAAAATATTCTTGTTTTATTAATTTATCAAAGCAAAAAAAGTCCATCACAATATCTGTGCAGCTGAGATGTAGAGAAGGACTAATTGACTTATAATCATATTTGCACCCTTGGTCCCTAACTTCTTTGGAAAATAATTATTAAGTCTAGTTTTATAATATAATAAAATAAAATAACTAAATGGAAGGAATAAAACCAAACTGTAAAATGATAAAATTGCCAAGCCCAACGTGTTTTCATCTTCATCATTCTCTAGGTTGATAAAAATTAGTCCTAGAATTATGTGCTCATCTTTATCAGTTGTCTCTTAACCGTAGCAATTCATTGGGTATGATAGCCAGAAAAACAGCCACCAAAGATATATTGTGCATGTCAATGTACTGGACCAATTTTCTTGAAAGTATTAAAATATAACCAGCTGCATGATGATAAATACAAATTTTGAGCACAACTTTCCAACCATTCAACAGTGTGCGACAGGGCGAGTTAAGGAAATCTGAGAAGTTAATTGCTCCTAACAAGACTTGGTGTAAGGACCGCAGCTTTACTTAGCCCCTTGACACTATCGCAGCCGCAGTTTGCCCAACTTCGGCCGCACATTGTAAATATTACTTCAAATTTGAGTTGTAATTTTCGTTTCATTGTAATAGTTATTTTAATTGTAAAATAGCTCTGATATTGGTAAAAGATTAGTATGATTCCTCGTCTTTTAAACGTCTACTCCCGTCACTTGGGTTTTTGTTCAGAATACTATTATAGGGGGTATTAGTCATTCAAAAATCTTTCAAGCTCACTGGTGTCCACCCCCTGCACCAGCATTTGTAATTTTCTGCTTTCATCAATTGTAATGTTCAGTTTTCAGCAATCAATGTTCAATTTACTTTCAATGTATTCAAATTCTCAATTGTAAGCTTTCTACAAAATTGCAATCAAATTTTCTTTCGTCCCGACGCGACCGAGAAAAGGCGGAAGGTAGTCTAGTGGAGCAGACTACTGCCGCACGGTGTCCCTTTCTGTGCCAAGAAGAAAGGCACCCCGTGAAAGTTGGTATCAGAGCTGCGGCTCAAGACCCTCGATAAGAAAGCTATGGATCCAATTACATCACACACCACTGAAGTGGTAGAGCCTCCCAAGAAGGGTACTACGAAACAGCGCGTGGATGCGCTTGATGAGACAGCTACTAGGTTGTGCTATGCTGTGGAAGGTCTCGGGGAAAAAGTCGAGATGGCCGAATCTGAGATTCGTGGATTACACATCCAATTGGATGAAAGCCAAAGAGCTTGCGCAGTAATGACGGAAGCTGCTGCAATCATTCCTGATCTGCAGGATGAAATGGAAGCGTTGAGAGCTCAATTGCGAGTACTCCAACGTGCGGTGGGCAATGGGCAAGCTCCCGTACACGAGTATGCTCCTAGACTCAGAATTCCTGAACCGTGTACCTATGGAGGGGCACGTGATGCAAAAGAAGTCGAAAACTTCTTGTTTGATATAGAACAGTACTTTTTAGCAGCTTCGATCGAAGATGAAGCTAGAAAGGTAACCACAGCTACCATGTATTTGGGTGGAGATGCAAAATTATGGTGGCGAACTAAATATGCGGACATTCAGGCCCACAGGATTCGAATTGATTCTTGGGATCTCCTCAAGGAAGCGATCAGATCGCAGTTTTTCCCGAAAAATGTCGAGTATCAGGCTCGACGGGCTCTTCGAGACCTGAAACACACGAGCTCTATCAGGGAGTATGTGAAATCCTTCTCAGGGCACATGCTGAATATTCGAGATATGTCAGAAAAGGACAAGCTCTTCACCTTTATGGAAGGGTTGAAACCGTGGACACGCACGGAACTTCAAAGACAGAAGGTTACTGATTTAAGCACGGCCATGGGAGCCGCTGAATGCTTGAGCGACTACCAAACAGAATCTAGAAAAGATCGACCTTCGGGGAGTAATCAAGCAATTGGAGGTGGTAACAGATCTTACAGACCCAACTCGAACTCAAATGGGGGAGAGCGCTACTCTCAAAATAGAGAAGGAGCCTATCAAAGCACCCGTGGCTTTCAGGGAAATTATCATAACAGCCGTCAGGGAAATTTTAACGGCAGTAATAGTAACAACTGGAACAAAGGGAAAGCAACGGAGGGCCGAACTGATGCCACTCTCAAATTGAAGTGCTTTTTATGTGAAGGACCTCATCGGGTGTCGGAGTGTCCTCAGAAGCGGATGGTGAATGCATATTGTCAATTAGCAAGTGGCGGGCCAAGTTCGAAACAAGAGGTCCCGCAAGCTAATTGTAATAATGAGACTGACTCTGAAGAGGATGAGGAAGTAGTTGGGGCATTTTCACATCGGTGCAACACAGTATCGCATCGGGTTGTCGAAAAGGATAATGTCCCATTGAAAGAGGCAAAGATGGAAGAAGCGAAGGCTCGTATTTGTAGGGCCAAAGGCTTAATGTTCATTGATGTAAAAATCAATGGGAAGTCAATCAAGGCTATGGTGGATACTGGTGCTACCCACAACTACCTTGCATGCACCGAAGTAGAGCGGCTCGGACTGGTTCTAGAAAAGGGTAGTGGAAAAGTCAAAGCAATCAACTCCGCTGCTCAACCAATAGCTGGAGTGGCAAAATCGGTGTTGATCAAAGCAGGTCCTTTCGAGGGAAGGACAAATTTATCTACAGTTCAGATGGATGATTTCAAGCTTATTCTGGGATTGGAATTTCTTCGGGATACTAAGACAGCAGTGTTGCCATATTCCGATTCGTTAATGATGATGGGTAATAAGCCGTGTGTCATCCCTACACAGGTTGGGAGGATGGGCGAGAAGAGTATCTTAGCCATGCAATTTAGTAAAGGTTTCAAGAGAAGTGAACCCTCTTTTTTGTGTACTCTTCGATTAGAGGAGGTCGAAGAGGCGAATGGTCCTATTCCAAAACCCGTTAAAAGGCTTATTCGGGAATTTGAGGACATCATGCCGGAAGAATTACCAAAGAAATTACCACCAAGAAGGACGATTGATCATGAGATCGAACTTATTCCAGGCGCTAAAGCTCCCGCCAGGGCACC